CTATCTATCTATCTATCTATCTATCTATCTATCTATCTATCTATCTACCTATCTACCTATCTACCTAATCTACCATTCATTCATTCTATGTTCTTTTTAAATAACGAAGGGGATCTAGAATACTCCCCTCTTCCCTGCAGCAGTCCCAGCTGTCCATTATAGAATGAAATGCTAATAATTCTAGGATATCCTATATTAAAGCAGTGCTTTTTCATTTTTACACATGTCTTCCCTACATAATAAAATGTTCCTTCATGCAGGAGTCATAATTTACAGATGTCTCATCAGTGCTCATCCAACAGTGACTGTCTGAGAAGGGTCTAGGACAGTACAGGTAATTCTCGATATAGAACAGTTTGTTTAGTGTCTGGAGTTACAACAGTGCTGAAAAAAAGTAGTATGACTGTTTTTCACGTGACCATTGAAACATCCCCATGGTCACATGATTAAAATTCAGACATTTGGCAACTGGCACAGTGGTGGGATTCAATTTTTTTTACTATGGTTCTGTGGGCGTGGCAGGGGAAGGATACTGTAAAATCTTCAGTCAGAGGTGGGATTTGCCAGTTCTCCGAACTACTCAAAATTTCCGCTAACAGTTCTCCAGAACTGGTCAGAACCAGCTGAATACCACCTCTGAACTGGCATGTATTTATGGCAGTTGCAGTGTCCTTTTGCAGCTTTCTGACAAACAAAGTCAATGAGGAAGCCACATTCACTTAACAATTGTGTTACTAACTTAAGAATTTACTTAATTGTGGTACAAAAAGTCATAAAATGAGGCAAAATTCACTTAACTGTCTTGTTTAGCAACAGGTACTCCTTGACTTATGACTACAATTGGTCATAATTTCTACTGCTATGCAAGACATAGGACCATAGACCAACATAGCTCTCCTCTGCAATCCCAAAGATGCTTTTTCCAGGAGACAACTGGACTTTGTTTTTTCTTTGAAGACGTTTTGCTTCTCAAGAAAAAGAAGCTTCTTTGGCTCTGACTAGATCAGGGGTGTCAAACTCACGTCATCGTCACATTACGTATTGGGACTTTCCCCCCCTTTGCTAAACCGGGCATGGGTGTGGCTAGCACATGATGTATTCGGCCCACCAGCCAGGAGTTTGACAGCCCTGGACTAGATGGTGGGGAATGGAAGGATTTATATTCCTTGCAGACAGTTGGTCATTTGCATCCTTTTAGAGGGTCATTGAAGCACTTGGAGGTTTATCTGTGTTAGGGTTAGGATTAGCTGTCTGCTGTCAGATAAATCTCCCTCCCTCTAAAGCAGGGGTCTCAAACTGGTGGCTTACGGGCCAAATGCATCACAGCATACCACACCCACCCCAGCTCCACGAAGGGGGAAAATGTCACAAAATGTCATGTGATGGCAACGTGATATCGTGAGTTTGACACCGTGCTCTACAAGGATGCAAATGACCAGCTGTCTGCACGGAATATAAATCCTTCCATTCCCCACCATCCAGTCACAGCTGAAGAAGCTTCTTGGATGAGAAGCGAAATGTCTTCAAAGAAAAAACAAGAAAGTCCAATTGCCTCCTGAAAAAGCACCTTTGAGACAGCCATGACCTGGATGACTGAGAATCTCTATAAACTCTCCTCTGCAATGTCTGCCACATTTCAGAACTGCCCCTCACTTCCTATCATACACCAGCTGGGAATTTTGAAAGTTGTAGGCACAATACAATGGAAAGACACCAGGTGGAGAAGGGAGAACTTTAGACCTTTCTGTCTCCCTTTGTTCTTCACCTATGATTTTCTAAATACCAGTTATGTGGCACTTCACAGCTGCACAGAGAAAACTTTAGATTTATTGAGCAGGAGAAGGAAGGGAAAACTACAGCACAGTGATAAATGCAGGCAAACGCAGGCAAGCGTATAGAAAGTTTGAGTATACCTAGAGATAATTTAAAGACTGGCCAGAAATAATCAGCATGAAGAAATATCAGTGATTGACTGATACCTATAACCAGTTGAAACAGCAGCTCTGCTTTCTTAGTGAGAATAAAAAATAAAGGTTAAAATCAGAGGTGATCTCTGTAAAAGTGGGCAAATACCTGAGGTTCAGCTTTTCCTAGCATGAAGACATATGTATTAACCAGAAGAGCAGCATTTGTAGATTTTCTGCTTACTATGTTGCAGGCAATCCTATATAGCAGGCATCTCCAAACTTGGCAACTTTAAGACTTGTGGACTTCAACTCCCAGAATTTCCCAGCCAGCAAGTCCACAAACCTTAAAGTTGCTAAGTTTGGAGACCCCTGAGAATATAAACAACCATCTACTCTGAGCTGCTAGGGGAGGACTGCTGTTGCTAAAGAGAATGTTTCCTTTGATTTTTACTCATGGGTTATTTATTTGCATTTAAAAAGCAAACAGGTTAATTACAGCTCTGTATTTTGGCTTGATTTTCAAAGGTTTTCTATTATTTATTATTCAGGGCAGCTGCACTTCTTCAGCTACTAAAAGCAACACAATATTGTATTTCCCCAGAATAAAGATGCACTAAGCTGTGTAGTATATATATATTATCTCCTTCCTTAACCATGCCCAGGTTGGAGAGAGAAAATATATAATTTCTGTTCTTTTTCTCTTTATGTATTGCAAAACATAGACCCAGCTTTTTAGGCTCTTCATTTAAAAACAGCTATTATCAATTTTCTTTGTAGAGCACATCATTCTCCACCCCTAAAAAATGGTATTAACCATGCTGCAGGTTGAGATTGCTTACCTTTCTAATTGGCCCATCTAATCTCCTATGCCTTTAACAGCTGCTTGGCATGCAAAAATTACTATATCTGGGAGGAATTGCAGACAAATAGGTTGAACATAATGGGGAGGAATTTTAAACCTGGTTTGTTGTTATTTGCATATTTGCTAGTTAAAGTCACAAAAAATGTGACTGCCATTAAATTAGTACAGATAGTTCTTGACTAATGGCCACAATTCAGCTCTCAAAATTTCTATTGCTAAGCAAGAGAGTTGTTTAAGTTCATTTGGCCCTATTTTATAACCTTTCTTGCCACTGTTGTTAAATGAGGCAATGCAGATAAGTGAGTTGCACAGTAAGTAATTAAGTGGATCTGGTTGCCGTTGATTTTGCTTGCCAGAAGGTGACAAAAGGTGATCCCAAATAAATACATGCCAGGTGTCTGAATTTTGACCACATGCCTGTGGGAATGTTGCAGCAGTCATAAATGCAAAAATGGCCATGGGTCACTTTTTTCAGTGCCATTGTAACTTTGAAACTGACTTTTTAAAAAACCCTAATCCTAACCCTAATTCATGGATGGAAGCATATATTACTCTTATACCAAAAGAGGATACTGAATTACAACAAGTAAAGAATTACAGGCCAATATCGCTGTTAAACTTGGATTACAAAATATTTGCATCAATAATGGCTGAAAGACTGAAGAGATATTTAAACCAATGTATACATCCTGATCAAAATGAATTTTTACCTAAGAGACAAATAAGAGACAATACGAGAATAATCTTATATACGTTGGAAAATTATGAAGCACATCCAGAAGAAATAAAAGGGATGGAAATAAGAAAGGAGGTGTATAAATTACAGGCATTTGCAGATGACTTGGTTTTTATACTAGAAGAACCTCTAGGAACAGGACCTAAGCTAATAAATAGAACAGAGGAATATGAGAGAATGGCTGGATTAAAAACAAAGAGAAAACGGAGATATTGGTGAAGAATATGACAGAAAAACAAAAAAAGGAACTGACAAAGGGTACAGATATTCAGTGTAAAAAAAGATAAATATTTAGGAATACAGTTGACAGCAAGATATGGAACAAATAAAGAAGGCAATTATTATAAATTGAAACAGCAGATAAAGACAGAGTTAGAAAAATGGGATAATATGCAGTTTTCATTAACAGGAAGAATTGCGGCGATTAAGATGAGCATATTGCCTAAAGTGTTATATCTGTTTCAAACAATTCTGATAAAGTTAGAGAAAAAAAAATACTTTGAAGATATTAATATCAATGCTGGCTGAGGAATTGATTTTTCTGGTCAAAAGGCTACAAAAGGGGATCACATGATGTTGGGACATCACAATGGTTGTAACTATGAACCAGTAGCCAAGCATCTGATTTTTTGGATCACATGATCCTGGGGCTGCTACAAAGGTCGTAAGTATGGAAAAAATGGTCATAAGTCACTTTCCCCCTCCAGTTTCATTGTAACTTTGAATGGTCGCTAAAGGAACCATTGTAAGTTGAGGACTACCTGTACAGGGAGTTAATTTCTC